CAGCAGGTCAGTGTCATGAGCAGAGGGTCAGTGTCACGAGCAGAGGGTCAGTGCAGCAAGTCAGTGTCACAGGCAGAGGGTCAGTGTCACGGGACATGCCTCGGGCAGCAGGTCAGTTCATCGGACAGTATCTCGGGCATCAGGTCAGTGTCATGGGCAGAGGGTCAGGCAGCAGGTCAGTGTCACGGGACGTGCCTCGGGCAGCAGGTCAGTGTCGCGGGCAGAGGGTCAGTGTCACGGGACGTGCCTCGGGCAGCAGGTCAGTGTCGCGGGCAGAGGGTCAGGCAGCAGGTCAGTGTCACGGGACGTGCCTCGGGCAGCAGGTCAGTGTCATGGGTAGAGGGTCAGGCAGCAGGTCAGTGTCACAGGACGTGCCTCGGGCAGCAGGTCAGTGTCATGGGTAGAGGGTCAGGCAGCAGGTCAGTGTCACGGGACATGACTCGGGCAGCAGGTCAGTGTCGCGGGCAGAGGGTCAGGCAGCAGGTCAGTATCACGGGACGTGCCTCGGGCAGCAGGTCCGTGCCTCTGGCAGAGGGTCAGTTCATCGGACAGTATCTTGAGCATCAGGTCAGTGTCATGGGCAAAGGGCCAGCGTCATGGGCAGTGCCTCGGGCAGCAGGTCAGTGTCGCGGGCAGAGGGTCAGTGCATCATGTCAGTCTCATGGGCAGAGGGTCAGTGCACCAGGCAGCAGCTCAGTGCCACGTGCAGAGGGTCAGTGTCACAGGCAGTGCCTCTTGCAGTAGGTCAGTGTACTGGGCAGAGCATCACTATCATGGGCAGTGTCTTGGGCAGCAGGTCAGTGTCACGGGCAGAGGGTCAGTGTCGCGGGCAGTGCCTCTTGCAGTAGGTCAGTGGACTGGGCAGAGCATCACTATCATGGGCAGTGTCTTGGGCAGCAGGTCAGTGTCACGGGCAGAGCATCAGTGTCACAGGCAGCAGGTCAGTATCATGGGCAGCAGGTGCAGCAGTTCAGTGTCTTGGGCAGCAGGTCAGCGACTCGAGCAGAGCTCAGGGCACACCCCCAGGTGCCCCCACACTGCCCCGGTCCCCCAAGAACAGACGCTAACAGAGAGGCGCGCCGATACAGTCCAGCAATAACCCCACACACACACTCAGGGCGCTCAGCGGCGCTATCCGCTCCAGGTATTCACAGTGGCAGGACCCTCGGGAAGCTCGAGAGGAAAAGCTGGGATCAGATCCTGCGGGAATTCACACGGGAATACAGCCCGTCCAGCACCAGCACACTTTCATCCCATACAGCGCCTTTCCACCCGGGGGCTGCGGGGGGGCTCATCGCAGCCAGGCAGCGTGAGGCAGCAGCCACAACACCACGCGTGAGCGAGACACGCAGGGAAGGAGACGCGAATACGGGACAAATGAAGGTGTATCCCGGGCTGGAGAGCGAAGGAAAGAGACGCGGCGTGTCGGCTGCCGGCGAGAGGAG